CACAGTCTCTTCATAGCACATACTACTCATTTGTGGTTCACGTCTCCGGTTCTATTCCATGGAACTTCATTATTGTTGGTTAGATCAATTGTTCTCATTCGTCCGATGTTGTTGATTTCCTCTTTCATTCGTAGAAAGAGCTCTGTGTTTTCGAATTTTTATATCGGCTTTCTCTCATACTGATTTCAAGTTGTGATTCTTCAGAAATCTCCCATTGAGGTCTATGAGATTCATATCTACCTAGCACCCCCGTTGCACTCCCTGATACAATTCTGATGTCTCTCAAATCTCTCTGGAGTCCTTGAAAAACCTTAGAGTCTATCTCTATATCTATCTCTGTATCTGTAGAGTGGGGAGGGTGAGTGTGAGCCCACAGCACTTAGACCACATGTGACCCATTGTACATCCTTCCGAGGAGTTGTCCTCCTAGGTCGTCGTCCATCCTGTCGTTTCCAGGAAGGTGGACAAGTCACTGGGAGACACTCCTTTATATCGGCAGGTGTAGGCCAAGACTCGCCAAACACACTCTCTTATTGACGATAACTCCGGGCACTCGCATAGGACATGCCTGACAGTCTCATCTTCCTGTTCACACATCCTGCATAGAGGTGTGTCCACTAGCCCCATATTATGGAGGTGTTTCCTTAGTTGACAGTGGCCAGTCAGAAATCCTACTGTTGAGCGTAGGCTTTTTTTGATCATTGCCTGATATTTTTCCGGCGTCAGCTTCTCAGGGTCGCCCAAGGTGATCTTGACAAGACTGCATCCTTTGATTCCATCCCGTCTCTTTAGAGATTGAGCATGGGTATGACGTTCAGCTAGTTCCGCAATTGTCCAAGTCATCAGGCCGTAGGTGTCACTGGGTCCTGAAATTCTCAGTCCAGTCGCTTCCTTGGCTAAAGATTCGGCAATGCGATTACCTTCACTCCTGTAATGCCATTTAACCCACCTCAGGATAACATTATTATCTACCGAGGCTTTGGCTAAATCTTTGTGGCACTCTAGTACTAGCCCTGAGGTAACACGTTGTCTGTTCAAGGTTAATAGGGCTTGTCTACTATCAGTGCAGATTGTTATGTTTCTGCCAGAAATTCCTTTCCTGGTTATTTCTTTTGTGGCGACTGAGATACCAGCCAGTTCTGTTTGAACCATAACAAATTAAGCTATTTCAACATTGATTTGTATCTATCCAGGACTCTCCTTCGTGGTCCCGAAGAAGATCATGGCTTCCAGCTTTAAGAGATTTTGAACATTCATTATGTTGCTCAAGGCCTTCTGTGGTCCTTGGATGACCTCAGACCCAATCTGCTGTTTTCTGTTGGCCTGAATTTTTATTTCACATGACGTAACCAAAGTCTGTGAAATTTCTATATTTCTAGAGTTACCTAGATACCTAGATATCATTTTTCCAGCTCGAACTCGGCTTCGCTACATAAATTCCACATTATTTCAGAGGTTTCGACGCATCAACGAATCTGAGAGTCACCCTGACAAACTCAATCCTCTGAAAAATAGTGTATAACGGAGCTCAATACGAGATATAGAATTCGAGATGAAGAAAGAAACAGCTTATTTGTCTTATGCTAAAAGATGTTATGGACTGGATTCCAGTAATTCCGGAGAAACACTTATTCGTCCCAAGAAAAACCGGAAGACTAGCTGATAACCCCATAGCGTATACTGAATCCCTCGTAGCTGAGGATCGATCCATATTGGAGCCACGAAGGAGAGTGTTGAAACCCAGCTCTCAGAATACAAAAAATTTGTTACCTCGGGCTTACCGAGAGACAATTCAACCCGAAAGAAAAAAGTGATTATTCAGATAGATTAAACCAACCAACAGGAACATCCTCAATCGAAGGAATGAATTTGGAGACCCAAAAAAATTTGTAAAATCTTCTAGAGCAACCAGCTTCATTGCCTTTGATAATGTCTGCGGTAATCGTAAACGAGAAATTAAGACTGACCAGCAAATACAGAAAATAGCCGTGAAACATTCTTTGACATAGAAGAATATTTGCCTGTTTGGAATGATACCTTTTATGTGCAATTCTTCTCCTCTATGGCTATTTCCTGCATGCACGTTATTTTTCGAAAAAACTCCTGGTCCTTGTGGTTTCTTTGGTGGAATGGGCAACATTGGATCATTCTTTGGTAGACTGGGTGATACCGGACCATTCTTTGGTGGACTGGCCGAGACTGGACCATTCTTCGGTGGATTGTTGAAGGTTGAATCATGCTTTGGTGGAACGCTCAAGACTGGGCCATTCTTTGGTGGCATGTGTGAAACTTGACCATTCTTTGGTGGAGTGGGTGAGGCTGGACCATTCTTTGGTGGACTGGGCAAGACTGGACCATTGTTTGATGGATTGTATAAGACTGATGACGATGATTTCACATTTATGTTGATTGGTGGTGGTACATGTGATGGTGGTGGAAGATGGGCTGAGAAAAATTAAAAATTTAAAAATGAAGGGAGATTGCACATTGTATCTACCAAACACTCATATTATCTTACATGTAGCCTTGTATGTTCAGCGTTGAAATATTAGCCAATAATTCACATTTCCAATATCAGATTTTATTTATATGTATTTTTGATTACACTTTAGATTTTATACTCAAAGACGATTGAAGGATTACCTAATAAAAATACAGTATATTCCTATGCATGACTTTCTTATGTAACTTTTCATTTACACATATGTATTTTTAATCAGAATGTTTGTATTTTTTCATATGTTTACCTTTGACATTCGTCGTTCGATATTGATAGTGATTTTATACAGACTACCAACTAGAAAATAACCAGTATTGAAATAATAATATAATATAATAATATTTCACTTTGGTCTAGCAAATAGAATTTTCAAGATGTTATTATTGTTCATCCGTGCCTACTATACGGTCCTGTGAGTGGCGTATACATTTCTTCTTTTCCTATTTTTGCATTTTATATTCTCTGCAGGAATGGCACTGAAGTTTTGCAAGAAAGAAATCCTGATACAAATACATTTATATTTTCCAGATTTATTTTTATGTAGCAAATTCACCCGAATACTCAGCAGACATGGAACTTACAGTCAGTGCTCTTTCACTTTTGTCAATTCTGAAATATATTCAATTGACTACCTCCGTATGCACTCGTGCTTACTGATACTTCTGTGAAATACTGTTCCGCGTAACGAAAAGAAATGCACTAATATATCATTGTATGGATATACTTCTAGAAATTATAAAGATGATGATTTGAAGTACTTTATATTTTGGAATTAGAGAACAAAAACAAATACTAATCATCTGAAACCACTTTATTGTTTTTCAAAATATTCCCCATGAAGATCTATATACTTTTGCATGCGTTTGAACTAATTGTTGAAGCACTTTTGCCACTCTAATTGAGGTATCTCCAAAACATGCATTCTGGAGGCAGCAACCGCTTCTTCAGGTGTCGAAAAACGTTGACCTGTCAGTTTGTTTTTTACGTGCGGGAATAAAAAGAAGTCATTCGGTGCCAAGTCAGGACTATACGGCGTATGACTCATCAAATCGATGATTTGGGTGCTCAAAAATGCAGTTGTTTGAGCCGATGTGTGAGAGCTCGCATTGTCGTGGTGAAGAGTGATCCGTCTTCGGCGGTTGGTTTTTTTGATTTCTTGGAAGACAACTGGCAAACAAATGGTTGTGTACCACTCAGAATTGACTGTTCTGCGTTGTTCTGCGTGGTCCGGTTGCGACATGTCCAGTTTTTCCGAAAAAACAGGCGACCATTTGCTTGGAAGTGCTTCGTACGCGAACAACTTTTGTTGGACTTGGCTCATTTTGAAACACCCATACAGTCGACTGCTGTTTACTTTCGGGCTCATACGCGTGAATCCACGATTCATCACCTGTCACGATGTCATAGACGTGTTGCGAAGCACCGCGATCGAATTTTTTAAGCATTTCCTTCGACCAATCGAAACGAGCCTTTTTTTGGGCGATTTACAAATTGTGTGGGATCCAACGCGAACAAATTTTTTTGACAGTCAAATGTTTAAGCAAAATTGAATGTATGCTGGTCCCACTAATGCTCAAGGTTGTCTCAATCTTACGATAGGTCACATGATGATCTGGCAATATCAGTTCGCGCACAGCATCAATGGTTTTCGGAACAACAACTGATTTTGGACGACCTTCACGAAATTCGTTTGGAGTAACTACGACCACGATTGAATTCACCATACCATCGATAAACACTGGTCCTTGATGGAGCTTCATCGCCAAAAATTGAATCAAGTTCATCCATGCACTGTTGCTGAGTTAATCCACGTCGAGAGTTGTGAAAAATAATCGCACGAAAATGTTCACGATTTAATTCCATTTTTAGGCCGAGATGAATCTTTTAACTTACTGTAAACACGAATAGTGCGCGTATATCAAAACATTCTGAGTACGTATAAGCTCAAAAATGTCCAACTTTACTATTAACCTTCAAAAGAAAGCTGTAGAAATTTCATGATATTACACTCATACGTTTGTGGGGTATTATGCTAAGAGTGACACTACTTTTGTTTGTTTGAAAGTGATTGACAATGTTTCGTGATGAATTTCATTAGCTCGGAATTCCATTGTCTGATAATATATAAAATGATTTGAAATCCCTGAAAGAACTAATAAAAGAAGAATTAAAAAGAATACCTGAAAATAACAATTATATTAAGCAAAAAACCCTGAAATGAAATGGCAGTGGAATAAAATACAAGTAAAAATAAAACAATTGAACAAAGAATACAAAGAATAAAGAATTAGAGATTTCAGGCCAAGTTACTTCATGTTCAGCATACCGTTTTTGGAAATTTCGGCCACATTGTCCCACATGAACACTATTATAAAACTTATAAACTCCAAATGTCTCCTTTTCAATGCCAAAGATAAGGTGGACAAGTTGGAGAAATCTGGAGTTTATGAGCTTAAGTGTCCGGAGTGTAATAGTGTTTATGTGGGACAATGTGGCCGAAATTTACAAACACGGTATGCTGAACATGAAACGTCCTTCAGAATAGGAAAAAATTATTCGACTTTTTCAAATCATTTCTTGGCATGCAACCACAAGTTTCCGAATGTAAACGATACGGAAATGTTGCACTATGCAAGGAAGGGTTACAAACTCAATTATTTAGAATTCTTGGAAATTCACAAGCATAAACATTGCGGGTGCAACCTGTTAAATGATCAAATCGATTTAGTTTACTCGCCGGTTTTAATTTATTATTTTTATTATTATAATCATTATTGACTTGCAAAGAATATTGTGAAAATTCTGATTCTACTTACTTCCTTCTGCCAACACCAGTACCAAAAAACAAAACGACAATTTCGTCAACCTGTTCATTTCGAATATCACTACCTGAACAACTGATCCATAGGACTTGGACTTCCTTTTTATAAACCTATTTCACAATTGGACATTGCCCAATACTTCAGAAATGCGTTTTTTGGCACTTATGTGCAACCCTTATCTACGAAATGGTTCATTAAATAATCAAATGACGACAAGTATTTTTCATTAATCTTGCTAAAAGCACACAAAGCAGATTATGTCTTGATCCATTACTCACTTCTGGCAGATTAACTTCAAGGTGAATGGCTGCATTAATTATTCGGAGCAGAGAAATATTGAAAATGTAATGCTGATGAAACATTATCGTAAACATGATTTTCTTCAGTATGTTGGGTCCGAGACACTTGTTTTGTCTTGAGTGGAAAATCATTCTAATTGGGCGTTGGCCGAGGTTTTCCCACGTGAAAGAACAACGGGAGGACTAAGGCGTCCTCATTTATACAAGATGATTAAGTAAAAATGAAAAATAGAAAACAGGAACACTAAATTGAAACACTCGATCATATTTTTAAGATTATGTCAAGGGTATTTTTACCGTCATTTAAAGAGAAAATATTCTAGAATTCTCAACTCGCGTTATCTTGAATCTTGTTATCATAGCACAGGGCCATTTGCCTGAAGCACTCAAAATAAGTACCGTTTTCCCGATTGTTGAAGTTACTAACATCACCAAATCTAATGAATTCAGGTCTAGAGAAAAATTCATAGTCAAATTCTTTTTGTCAACTAATCTGGCTTCCGAAACAACATTCATGTGGATCTGCATTACAACTATTAATAAGTGACCTTAATCTATCAGAAAATACTTGTACTTCCGCTGATACTAACTGGAGGAAATGCACGTCCACTGGCGGAACTTTTGTTCAAATTTGAAGAAAGCATTTCTCGGCAAATGTCTGGCAAGTACCCTATTTGCGAATCCAGTAGCTGTACTTCTGTGCAAATTTGGAGGAAGCATTTCTCAGCAAATGTCCGGGAAGTACCCTATATGACATGAAATTGACATTTTGATTTTTGAAAGTTTGCATGGTTTTTGTCCCAAATATCGTAATAAACTCTGGAAATCAGCAACGAGAGTGGGTTTGAAAATGGGCCTTACGAAATCTCGAAATTTCCAATGCAGCATCTACTGCCACGGCATACATTTTTGCGGCATCAACTGCTGGGTTATTAGCCGCGTGTTTGCCATTTATTCTTCAAATTTATTCTATCAAAATAATTTATTCGCACGCTACATAGCAGCCATCCTTAGGATAGATGTGCACGTCAAATACTCTTACATTGAACAAAATATAATAAAATGTCACAAACACTAATAGTAGGTACTAAAAAACAGACAAACATGTGTAACTCTCAGACAACAAGTAAATCAAAAATCATCATTCAGGAATTCACTGATGGAGTAATAGGCTTTTGCACACAGAAATGTTTTCAATTATTTTTTTTTAATTTTTTATGGTCCAGTTTTTTGAGATGTTGTGGAAGTTTATCAAATATCCTCAGACCTACGTAGTTTGGAGATCTTTCAAATGTCTTCAAATAATGCTTTGTAACTGAAAGTGCATTCGCGTTTCTTATAGGATATGAATGGTAATCCGAGTTTTACATATGTTGATAATTTATATAGATAAATACAGGAAAATGTTAGAATACTGTACTTTGAAAAAGCGGCTTTACAGCTGTTTATATTTTTTATATTAAAAATGAGACGGATTATTCGCTTTTGGCATATGAACGCTCTTCCAGAACTTACACAATCCCCCATAAAATAACATTATATGCCAAATGGGAGTAAATCAATGCATAGTAAGTATCAATAAGAGCCATCTGATTCACCGTAGACTTCAGTTTCAAAATTGCATACAATCCTGAGCTCAATTTCTTGTAAACTTGCTGCAGTGGGTCACTCCATGTTGAACACTAATTTAGATATGCCCCTAGAAATTTTGTATTGGTACTAGTTGATACAACAACCATACTTATGTTATTGTGAATTTCTTGGCATTTGAAATTGATACATACGGTTTTATTCAAGTCCAAGATAAGATTATTTCTATTACATCAATTTTCAAATGAATATATGATGTGTGTAATGACATTTTGAAGTGCATATGGTGTCTGTGCTGGAACCACTACTGAGGAGTCATCTGCAAACATCATGACAGATCCTGATATATCGTTTATAAATATGATGAATATTAGTGGCTCCAGTACAGGCCCCTGAGGCACCCCAATATCATTCATCATATACTCAGAACAACAGTTTTCAACTTTAACATAGGATTCTCTATTAACTAGGCATAACTGCATAAGTTCAAGCATATTTCCTCTAATTCCATTTGTGCATAGTTTTTGTAAAATGAAATCTAATTGTAGACTATCGAAAGCGCACGAAAGATCAAAGAAGATATCGGATACATATTGTCCTGAATCAATACCTTTATAGACGTGACCCATGAAATCGCACACGGCATCCTCTGTCGACCTTCCCGAACTAAACTCATATTGGGCAGAAGAAAGAACTCTGATTTTGTCCAAAAAATGAACTATTCTATTGTAATACATCCGCTCAAAAATTTCTGAAAGAACATTCAAGATAGTGACTTGTCTATAGTTTTCTAAGTTGCTGCGATCTGATTTTTCGTGTATGGGTATTATATTTCCTATTTTTAGACACTGCGGAAAAGTACAAGTTTCAAAACTCAGATTTTTCTTATTAGTCAGTTCATTTGCTTTAGATTTGTAAAACTCAGATTAATGAGATGGGCTGAAATGTCACAGATGGATTCTTCAACAGCTTTTAAAATTTTTACACTTATATTGCTATCACCAACACTTTTTTTATTTTTTAAATTTGATATGACCTTATCAACCTCTTCTGAGGTTACATAAGTGAAGTAGAAGCTATGATCTGCAGTAGTAGTTACCGAATTTGTCATTCTATTTCTTGTGTGTTATAGAACTGAAGTGACCAGCAGAATAGTCTGCAATTTCTTCAGGCTGATCAATTTTTTTGTCTCCTATTTTCAATGATATCCTATTGGAATGTTTATTTTTCCCTAGTTCTTTATTAACAATTTGACAGAGGGTTTTCTGTTTGTTTCCACTGTTCTTTATAATCTCATAGTTATAGTTCTTTTTTGCTTCAGTTATCTATTCCTTATAGCTTTTTTTCTTATTATTGAAATTTTGCCATTTGTCATAATCGTTTAGGTTTTTTATCGAGTTGAACATATTTTTTCAAGTTTTACTATCCTCTTCAATGCTCTTTGTAACCCACCCTTTTATGCTGTTTCCTGGTTTCCTCATATTCTGGTCAATCTACAAGTATATGTTGTACTGTTAATACCGTTTGGCATGTAATGAATACATGGAGGTTGTTCTCGTAGGAGCAAGTAGAGGTGTATCATTTTTATATGCCCGATTCGCAGACGTATGAGAACAACTTGTTCCTTCTGTTCTGTTTAAAATCTGTTTTTCCGTTAATCGATTTCAATGGTGAGATTCGCTTATACGAACGACAACTCTCAGAAGTTGAGGAACTTGTGCGAGCTAAGGACTAACGAGATCTTACCTTTGAACGTGTGATTCCTAACACGGCTACATTTCGATATAGGGTTACACTCAAGATTTTTGAGTGCAGCATCTTGGTGCCGCGTCTACAAAGATGAAATAGCGGCTAATACGTATAGAAGTGAATTTCTTTGTCGCATTTGATTGCCGATATTTCGTTTCTGTATCTTTCCTAACTCGTAGATAAAGTTCCCTTACCGAGACTTTTCGTACACCCGGTATATAACATAAATTTAATCTTCAAGAGTCAGCGACTTCGAGGAGGGATCATCAAGAATCAGTGTAACCACTATGTTCCAGAAAGAAAACATTTTTTGACAGGATCGTCTTCAAGAGGATCAACGGGAAGCACCATCCGAAAATTGAGAAGAAGGGGATCCCGATGTGTAAAGTTGGGTCACTCTAAGTTTGAGCACTAAGCTACATTAATTCGTTTGGTGTTCTACCTTACAGTGAGCAAACTCTACTCCTACTCTACGTGGAGCTTCAGAAAAGAAAAGGAGAAAAATCTGCAGGATTTCAAAATGAATATTCGTCGTTTGGTGGATTATTCAAGAAATGTAAATAACTTTTGTAGATTCACGTTTATGAATTATCGGTGTACTTCATTTCAATGATGTTTCACAGGTGTGATACACAGGGTGTCAATTTGAAAACTTCCTACCCTTAATAAAATGTAATTTGCGAGACAGACATTTCAAACATAAAATCTACTTACAATTATCTGTTCGAAATGTCGTCCATTTTGCTCTAAACAGTAAAAAAAATCGAACTCTCCCCTAACATTACGGAAAACTTCACTAGGAATTAGCTGGCATGCTGCTGTAATTCGTCTTCAATATCAGAAGTTTGTGTTTCATGAATAACGGATTCTAGATGCCCCCAAAGAAAGAAATCTGAGGGTGTTAAATCCGATAATCTCGGGACAATTCAACTGCTTCCCTTCTGCCAATCCATCTATCCGGAAATCTCTCGTTCAACCATTGTCTATCGGGAAGGAAATAATGAGATGGAGCACTGGACTGCTGGAAATGTAACAGATTCTCCTGCAGAAGTTTATTACCTTCTGCATCCATTCGAGTTTCTAGCTCGTGAGTTACAAGAGGATCAATAGTCTTTTCAAGCATTTCAAGGCCAGTCAAGTTTTCTTCCAGGCATAATGGACCAATAAGGCATTTCCAAGAATACTAGTCCAAACATTAACTTTTTATGGGTGTTGTGTATGCCCTTCCGGGTAAAATATGTGGGTTTTCGTCACTTCAGTAGCGACAATTTTGTTTATTAACATTATCATTCAGGGAAACTTGACACCCATAGCTGAAACAAATGTTTAGCAGGAGATTAGGGATGGTATTGACTCGATGAGACATGATTTCACAAAACTTATTTTTCTATCATAATCATACTCGTGGAGCTCTTGAAGAATCTGCATTTTATAAGGATGGAATTCATGGGTTTTCAATGCTTTTCTTACAGTCTCGCGTTAAATTCAAATCCGTTCTGATACTGATCGTAAGGAGCTTGTGTGCTCTGCAGCAAATGTTCCCAAAACTTCAATTTGAGCTGCTTCTTTTAGTACTCAGGGTTAATTCTTTTTTAATTTGACGCTGAACTAGTTTCATTAAACCCATTTACCAAATCAAGCACATACCGGTGACTTACATTACAATTTGGGTGTCTTTGGTTAAAAAGACATACCGCCCTTCGTGCGCACTTTCCAACTTCTTCATAAAATATAATAATTTAAATTCTGTCATGAAAAATGTAAACCATTCTTACACTGTTTCATCAGTTCGGACTTCCATTGTCGAATATAATATAAATTGATTCGGAATCCCTAAAAGAATCTGGAAAAATGATCTTCAACGGAATGGTTACTTCAGAGTGATATTAGAACAGTCTCTACTAGACCGTGCTTTCGCGCTCTGTAATACAAAGGAAGGTCTCGAAAAGGAAGTAGGCATTACGGAATGGTTACAACGGAATGGTTACTCCAGAGTGATGGTAGAACAGGCTTCAGCTGGAAGACAGCGAATCCAACCACCATCAATCGACTAAGAGAGGAGTCATCAATACACTACTAGACCGTGCTTTCGCGCTCTGTAATCCAAAGGAAGGTCTCAAAAAGGAACTACGCATTATCAAAAATGACCTTCAACGGAATGGTTACTCCAGAGTGATATTAGAACAGGCTTTAGCTGAAAAACAGCAAGAGCTCCACAAGGAAGAGAAGCCGCCACAACCAGTACTTGTACTTCCCTACATCAGAGGATCATCGGAAAGGATAAGAAGGATTGGGTCTAAGTATAACATCAGGACCTGCTTCAAATCTGGGAACACTATCCGTAGCAGCCTCACGAAAACCAGGCCACCAAACGCGGACTGCAATTCCAAGAATTGCATTTATCGGATACCCTGCGAGTGCGGAGAATCATACATCGGTGAAACTTAGAGGACATTGAAAGTTCGCATTGCTGAGCACAAGAAACAAACACACACAGCGAGGAGAAACCAGTAAATCCGGAATAGCAGAGCATGTTTGGACTCATCAACATAACATCAAGTGGGCTCAAGCTGAAATCATCCACAAAGAGGAACACTGGTTTATGAGAAAATTCAAAGAAGCCGCGTATATGCTATCCAACAACGCATTTAGTCAAGCTAGCGTAGAGATACGTAACATATGGAAAACTCTAAACAAGCGAAAAACGACCAACTCCCGCCAAACGGCCATCTCCCGCTAAAACCAATGAAGCGGAGAGAGGGAAGAAGGGATAGGTGAAAGCACTCGAATGACCTATAAATAGTCAGATCTCGGAGAGTTATCACTCGAAGACGGTTGTGGATACTAACAATCGAAATGTCGTGACGTAACTTGGTTTGGAATCTTTTAATTTTAATTTTTCATTTTTGTTAATGATATTTTTTAATTTTCAGCTTGTATTAATATTTCAATTTTTTTTTGTTGTTGCTTGTATGTTATTTCTTTGTAATTTCAGTTTTTTTTATAAAATTGTTATTTTTCTATAAATCTTCTTAATTTTTTACAGATTCTTTCAGGGATGTTAAATCAATTTATATTATATTAGACAATGGAAGTCCGAACTGATGAAATACACCACGAAACATTGTCAACCATCTTCAAACAAACATTTCCACACTTTTTTACATTTATTAAAGTAATCACTAAACAGCGAACCAAATTTTTGCCTGAAAACAGAAACTTTTTACATCAGATGTAGCAAAAAAGGACGGCTAGCTGTACATTTTCTGCGATGAGAATTAAAAATTCAGCATTTATTGAGCACAACTTTACTACCATCTACGTTTTACTATCAGACTACTTTTTGATATAAATTATTTGGAGCTGATGACTAATGTTACCCTTAATAAAGGGTTGTAACGGTACCACATAATATTTTTACCAGTTCTGGCCAACCCCTAGGCGTACTAATAGTTACTTCTGTTAGTTTAGAACGCTATCAGGGTACATTTGGAAGCAGAATTGAACGCCAAAATTGAACGCCAAAATGATGTCCACTTCTCCCATTTGGAAATCTAAAGGTAACATGTAGATGCTACCCTTACCCTCGTGATTCAACCCCCTCTTAGGAGGTAGAACCACGAGGGTTATCAATAGTCCATAATAGTGCCCCCCTTGACAATAAAAATGATCTGTTTTTTAGATTTCTCTTAATGTTTACTGGAAGGAAGTTTTCAAATTGACACCCTGTATTTTATTTCGACAGAAAATAAACGAACTCGATTTTTTTTATTTACCATTTCAATATTGTATCTATTCTAGGAGCAAATGATAATCCACCAACCGCATATAAATTTATTTATGCTGATGTATTACATGTATGTAAAATTGCATTTCTTCAATAAATTAGGATTTTTTTTTAATATTTACGTTTATAATTTTCTTATAATAAACCGGGTGTAAACTGATTCGCCCCTATTCGTCAATTCCGGTATGAATGTGGTATTTTGGTGATTCAAATGACTGAATTGATTGAATCAAAAATATGTTTGTAGCATTTTCAGTTAAACGTAGAATCATCCCAACTTTCAAATGAAACACTTACACATTTTTTAATTCAGCAGTTCATTCCACATTCACCTTATTTCGGTGGGATAATCTTGTGAAGTATTTTTCCTAAACAGCAGTACTTTTCAAGATTATATAAATTTGGACTCATCAACATAACATCAAGTGGGCTCAAGCTGAAATCATCCACAAAGAAGAACACTGGTTTAGGAGAACATTCAAAGAAGCTGCGTATATGCTGTCCAACACCGCATTAAGTCAAGCTAGCGTAGAGATACGTAACATATGGAAACCTCTAATCAAACGAAAAACGACCAACTCCCGCCAAACGGTCATCTCCCGCTAAAAACCAATGAAGCGGAAAGAGGGAAGAGGAGATAGATGAAAGCACTCGAATGACCTATAAATAGTCAGATCTCGAAGGAGTAAGTCCAGTTATCACCCGAAGACGATTGTGGATACTAACAATCGCAACCTCGTGACATAACTTGGTTTTGAATCTTTCAATTTTAATTTTCCATTTTTTGTTAATAATATTTTTTAATTTTCAGCTTGTAATAATATTTCAATTTTTTTAATTTTTTTGGTTGTTGCTTGCATGTTTCAGTTTTTTGTTCAATAAAATTGTTATTTTTCGGTTAATCTTTTTGAGATTATATAAATTTCATTAAAAACTCCTTGAGAAACCACGATGTCTTTGTTATGTCGTTTAGAAAAAAAAATTCGCTGTTGAATCTAAGATTTTTCTTCATGAAAAATACTCAGAATTTACGCAGTAACTTATCAAAGTGAACTAAAAAGTTTACCTTAATAAAATTTACAATTACAATTTTTCAGATTGTGGAAGGGTCAATAAAAAGGTCACAAAATATGTGAAATCTGTTCCTATTCATAAATAGTTATCGGCTTATTGCGAAACGTTTATTTAATTTTTTCAATACTCGTTACTAAGGTAATTGCTGCCACTTACTGGCAACAATGAAATCACTTCATTTCCTGAAGGAGGGCTTGAACTTATCTTTCTGGAAAATATGGAAATCGATAAATTAAAAAACTCCGAATATCTAACGAACGATCAAATTGATTTAAATAACTCGACTTTGCTGAATTTGTTCTCACCAGGTAATCATATGTAGTGCCCATAAAATAATTACTTAGCAATAATGATCAACTTCTTGACATGTTTTTACTAGTACATATATGGTCATTACACGTACCTAAATCTAGCCTGGGGTGAATTTTCTGATTAAGATTTAGGTAGTATCTTGAAAAGGTTGTTGTATTGAAAATAGGTGTCGCGGTTTTGTGAACATTTCATAATGAGTTGAGTGAAAGAGCAAAAACTTATTCTTCCAACCTATATTTGCTTTGATCGGTGTATTCATTCAGTTTGAATGAATGTTGTATTTTTGGTATACATTATTATTAATGTCCTAAGATTGCGCTGGTATCCTCCGAAGCCCCGATACAATCGGGAGGACATGCCAGCATTTTCAACCAATGACCACTCACCATATCGTAGTTAGGTCCAAGAAGCATGTGCTCTGAACAGCTACAATGATCCAAGAATCAAAGCCTTCTGTAGTTTTCCGGCTGAGCTTTCTACCTTAGTGCGGCAACCCGGCAGGATCTAGAGATTTGAGTGTAGAGAAGGCCACGATTCTACCAAGGACACCAATAAATCAAAACACCCATTTCGACAGAGTGGCCTGAATAGAGTCTGTAGAGTTTGAAGATGACATCTAAATTTTTCATCAGTTTCTCTTTTTTTGGGCAATATTCGTCTCGCCAGGATCTGAAAACTCCACGACAAGCATCGTCTTGTTCTGTTGGTCGAGAAGAACCGCATTAGTCTTGTATGAGCCTGAAGGTGAGGCCCTTCTCATTTCTCGCAATGGGTTCGATATCCCCCACAGCTTAAGACAATACCATTGCCTCGTTAAGACCGAACAGAGATGTAGGTGGTAATGAAGCTCTCTTAGGGTCGCGTTATGTCGATGAATATAGGCTAGGTCCACATATGCTGTACATGTTGACAAGTGCATCAGGGTCTCAGACGCCTCGCGGCAGGCTTGTAGGCCCTGCACCTTGTATCAGGAACTTCCACACCCATCACGCGACCGCGGTAGACTTAGGTATTATAGACACTATCCTAGTAGGTCATGATGAACTCCTGTTTCCGTGGTCTTCGATATTGTTGAAGAAGACCCCAAGCATTGGTTTATCCTTGTGTTGTTGTAGGAGTGAAGTTATTCCTGCGGTTTGGGATGCAAACTTCTGAAGATATGCATTATTTTTTGGGTTTTTACGTCGACTGGACATAGCTCCTCCTGAGTCTACTTCACCATTCCAAACGAGTAGAGTAAGATTGGAACGGCAATCATATTCGTGGCAGCAATTTTGTTTTTTCTTTGGCAGTTCCGATGACCAGATCCGCCGAAGTTTGTGCTGATACTTGCCGCGGAGGAGGTTCTTCACTACTGTTAACTCTTGTGAGTGGTGTTGTTCCACCTCGTCTCTCCGGCATCCAGATGGTGCAGGATGGTTTCATCTACGTGATGCATATTCTCCCAATAATCTACACATCGTCCTCTTTCGACTTTTGTACATTTGTCTATCCCGAATGTCATATCGATAACAGGACGTCCTTTTCTGCAGAGGCATAGAGTCCAAGATCATCCATTTGAAACAACTGGGTTATCTTATGCTCGCGCAACGCGCAGCGCAACGTATAATGGCAATAGTGAGATCCAGAAAAGGAAAGAACTGAGGGAATCGTCCTGAAATACACTCCTTCTCCAGAATAGAGAAGTTTTCCAAGGCATCTCACTATTTAGTCGGGTACCATAAGGGATCTGAGCAAATGCAGTATCATTAGTATCTTCATTATTATTAATATTGGTATCATTTTTATAGACACTCACAGATAGCTGATACTCATAAAATTTTCAGATGAATTTTGTGAAGAGTTTCCTCACAACTTCATTCCAACTCCTGGCTACTGGATCGAGTGCTCAAGACAGAAAATCACTTCTGATACGATTTGGGATGAGAGTGAATCTGACAATAATGAGGAGGGAGACGACGAAGGCCATGATGGAATTGATCACGATCAGGAGTTCAAGAGGAGAGATCGAAGTGAGTTCCTATTTCTGATGAATAATCGAATATCATTCGATTAATCAAATATTGGTCAAAAAAATCCTCATCGAGATGAAACCCATTCCTTTATATTCAAGCACTGTTGGCGTCTTCAGGAAATAGATTAGAGATAATGGAGGAGACATTAGTCTATTCCATCTCTTGAATACGCCGATTTGATTGATGAATTTGTTCTTCTTTTGGATTTATTCTAAGCCAAAGATTCTCGTTCTGCTTTTCATGTGAGCATTTCGTGAGTTCACTTGTTTTTATGGCTTGGTGTAGGTTGCAGCGATTTGTATGAAGGTGACGAAGACGACGATGATTCGTCATCGTTGAAAAAAAAGACTGTCATAGAAGAACAATGGGAGAAGAACCAGGGTTTTGAACTGACCAGTGTGGAACAGGAAACTTACGAGAAATATTTTTACGGGACCGAACATTGGAACTATTTCACCAATGATGAAGATCTTGGACCGGTCATACTGTCAATCAAGCAAGAAACAATCAATTCAAGGGATCAATTTAGGTGAGTGGCTTTGATATTCCAGAACCATACATCAGCTTCATAGTTATGAATGTTCTGCAAAATTCACTGAAATACTCTGTTGTTCAAGGATATTAGTAAGAGCTATAAGTTATACGGTTCATGGTTTGATACCGGCAAGTTGCGTATTCGCAGACAGGTATAACAGAGAGGAGGTTGTGCGATCATTGGGAAAAGAAGTCAATATCAACCCACCACTTACATTAGGACAACTTCCGGATACTCCTGAAGAGCTACTCAAATTAGACCAGGTATGTTATTTTCAATCCAATAATTCTTGCCACTTCAGACCAAATTGATGAACCGTTTACAGCTATGAATGATGAACGTTATTTAGAATACCTGCCAGTTGCCTTGAAGATGCAAGTCAGTTTAGATTGTAGATTTCTGGATAGGTAGTGTTATCAATTGGCAACTATAATTCTGTCTTCATCTGATTGATAGGATCTAATGGAATCCAATGTGAGCCTCCATCAATGATTCAGTCAATCGGTTGCTTTCAGATTCATAGGTTGGGACAAATTGATTCAACGAGAACATTTTCCGGAAAGTTCTACCCGAAATGTGAAACTGATATGAATATAGAGAGTTTCAGAGTAGTAATTAGTTTTTTCTGAAGACGCGAACTTGGTTGGTGAAACGTGTGTTCTAGTGAGAAATGTGCTTGTTTTTTGATTCATTCTACGTCAGCGGTTTCAGTTTCACCTTTGAAATTTCAATGAAAACTTTCGTGTAATAAAAACCCTCAGATGTAAATAGAAAATGAGACAAAGCTCGTTTTTGCATTATATCCAATATTCATTAGGTGTCTAGTACAAAATGTAATCTGCTCAAAGGGCTCGCGTTGGAGCGTGGGATGTTTTATATATTTACACAGGTTTCATCAAAATAATTATAATTGCCGAGCGCACAAATGGCAAATGAGTGTAATCCGACGAAAGGTGGGAGACTATACGACGCAATTTCGAAAGATGCAGAGTAATCCTGCGGGAAAGTGGTCGCCTGGCCGGGCAAGCATTCGGCAGTTCTGAACACAAAGGTATCTATTTGATAACAGAATGCAAACAAGATACGGAAAGTACTGTTCCCTATTTACTCTATCTGAAATACGGAGAGGGTCACCAAGATTGAGCCAAAGCTGAGATGGGTTGAAGGGCACGACAGGAGTAATCGCATTGCCGACTCTTTCACCAAGGCTGGACTGAGAATTTTAGGACCCTGTGACACCTACGGCCTGAGGACTTCGACAATTGCGGAACTAGCCCAACGTTACACCTATGCTCAATCCCTAAAGAGATGGGATGGAATCAAAGGATGCGACCCTTAGAAGCTGACGCCGGAGAAATATCAGGCGATTATCAAAAAAAGCCTACGCTCAACAGTAAGATTTCTGACTGGCCACTGTCAACTGAGGAAACACCTCCATATTATGGGGACCTCTATTCAGGATGCATGAACAGAAAGATGAAACTATCAGGCACGTCTCATGCGAGTTTCTCGAAGTATCGTCAATAAGAGAGTGTGTGTTCGGCGAGTCTTGGCCTACACATGATATAAAGGACATGTTTCCTAGTAACCTGTTCACCTTCCTGAAAAGGACAGGATGGACAATGACCTAGGATGACAACTCCTCGGGAGGACGTACAATGGGTCACATGTAGCCTTAGTGCTGTGGACCTACACTCACCCCCCCTACTCTACAGATACAGATACATATACGGAAGGAGTCATCTAAAAACGTACTGCGAAAGAGAATTGCAAAAGAAAAAACTTTCTGCAACAATTAAAAAACACGTTTGAAACTGTTTGTTGTCGTGTTATCGCTTTCCATCAATTTATTCTCACAGCAAGAAAAAATAATACTTCTGTCGATTTCAGACAGAATGACTGTTGAAACCGAAAATGATCACGAGAATAAAGGCTCCTCTCACTTTTACTGTCTCTGCCATTCAGCGCGCAGATAGGCATATAAATGGAGAACCAATTTCGTTGCGAGAGCAAAAAATGAATTTCCTCCGCAGATTAAAGCTTTATCAGTGGATCCTTTTCCCAGGGGGATAAAATTGAGGAAAGTAGGATGTCCAACCAATTAAAGCAGGCCATCATTGACTATCATAACGAAAGGTGGGAGGAGCTCTTGGAATTCCTTGAGCCTGGGGAAGATAAGCTTCGGCGGATCACCCGCAAGCTTAAGGCGAAGAAGGCTGCTCTCTCAACAATTCACGGAGAGCGCGAAGTGTGGTACTACCCCGCTGACAGCGTTGGCCTTTGCCGACACAATAGAACGTCAGTTCCAGCTTAACGTTACCGTGATATTTTGTTGGAAAATCGGGTTCATTGCATCCTAAAATAAGATGACGACGACAGAATCTGCCCAGCTTCTGTGGAAGAACTGAAAGGGTATATTGAGGCCGCAAAGGCTAAGAATTATCCGATGGTCACTTCAATAACTAGCAGGTTGCTGAAGCAGGACCCACAGAATTGCGTCAAAATGCTGTTGAACATAATCAATAGCTCACTGGCCCTCAGATTCTTCCCCGGAAAGTGGAAGAATGCGATCGTTCATGTTCCCAAAACAGGATCAGGGCCCGCCAGTCCCACAGAACTCTCACCCGATCCGTCTAATCTCCTGGGTGACAAAGCTGGTTGAAGGAGTCGTTCTGCAGAGGCTCAACGAAGAAGTCGAAGACCAAAATGTTCTGCCTAACGAGCAACTCGGTTTCCGGAGGGAATACCCCACTGAGTTACAGACTGTGACTGGATGAAAATATCATCAAAGAGCTGAACTCTAATAAAAAAAGTTCATCTAGTCTTACTAGACATTTCGAAGGTCTTTGACCGAGACTGGTACGAAGGCCTGCTTCGAGGCCTGATCCGGTGGATTGGGTCCTTTCTGAATGGCAGAACCTTCCAGGTCATAATAGAGGTCTCCCTGTCTGACAACAGAAAGATCCCCGCTGGAGTGTCACAAAAGGCCGGACTCTCTCCCACGCTCTACTCCTTTCGAGGTCCGAGCCTGTGAATGTATTCCTGTGCGCCGACCGTAAGGCTTGCCTCACTTTTTTCATGGATCGTGAGCTCGAGATCGTTTATATACAACGTACAATGGACGACTTCAAGCGCTGGTACTTCGATTGGAATATCCGAGTGAACCTGAACCAAACTCAGGCAATAACTATGGGAAGAACGACATCTTCTCGGGCCATGAAAGTGAGGTTTTCTGAAAAGAAGAGTACCTCGGTCTCTAGTAGACAGTAGGTTCACCTGGAACCGGCACTTCGAAATCTATAACAAGAAGTTCAAAACCGTCATCATGTATGCTTCAGACGTTTGGGGGTAAGCTGTTCCGACGACTCTCTCTATTCTGGGGAGATTGCAGAATAAGTTACTACGGATTATAGTGAATGCTCCATGGTTCGAGCGCAGCTGTTGTCCATTCAGCAGTCCAGTTATTTAACCGGAAGGAGCCAAGCACTAAGAATCGATGATATATCGATAAGGTGAAATGCTCGACTGATGTTAATCCCTTCTCCCCACAAAAGCACATTGTAAGATAGTACTGAATAAACCATCTTCGGTTGAAGAATTGAACTAACACCGTTTTGTCGGAATTGACTATAAGTTTATTTGTGTGACACCATTTCGTAAATTCACGACTTATTGTGTTCAGTTTCGACTGTAGTTCCGCAGGACTATCAGCTCCTTCTGAGACTGCAGTATCATCGACAAAAAGTGATATTGATTTTCTACCTAAATGTTGAGGTAAATCATTGACATAAATCGGAAAAATTAGTGGTCCCAAAACTGAGCCCTATGGAACTCCAATGTCTACGTTGAATGTAGCAGAGTTCGAATCATCCCATGTCACATATAATTTCTTGAACTTCATATATGATATTACCCATGTAAGAAATGTCCGTCTAATACCTATTGCATATAATTTGTTTGTGAGTATATCAAAATCTATGGAGTCGAATGCCTTGGATAAGTCAAAGAAAAGCGCAGCTACAAATTTACCTTTGTCAATACCGTTATAAATATGCTTCAGAAAAGTTGCAGCCGATCCTTCCGTCGACTTACCAGGACAGTATCCGTGTTGATAGCTACTGATTATAATTGTGTTTCAACAAAAAAGGAAATAATTTGTTGCATATACTTTTTTCAATTACCTTAGCCAAAAAACTGGGAATGGTTACTGGTCTATAATTATCGATTATAAGGGGGTTATTTTTCTTGTATAAGGGAACTATTTTTCCAATTTTTAGAGGGTGTGGAAAAATTCCGTCCTCAACAGATTTATTGATTATGAATGCCAGTGGTTCACAGATGAATTCAGTTTTATATATTCAATTATTTTTGTAGTAAAGCAGTCCATTCCGCTTGAATTTTTATTCTTAATTTCAGTAATGACATTGAAGACCTCGGTTGGTGTTACAGGACGGAAATAAAAACTATGTATGTTAACGTTTGAATCCGTTGTACCTAATACAATTTTGTAAATCATTTGGAACCATAGTTGCATAGTATCTGGCAAAAGACTCAGCAATTATTTTTTTTATTTTCGACCAATTTGTTTTCAATGTACATTTCCTGTGAGCGTTCTTTCAATGTTCGTTTTCCGGACAGTGTATTAACAGTTTTCCATATTCGCTTCTGTTTATTCTGTATACTATATGATGCCTCTATTATGTTTTGATAATATATTCGTTTACCTTCTTTCATATTTTTTCTATGTTGTTTTTTCATTGTACGATACAAATGTAGCACATTTTGATCATGACCACCTTTGGTTAAACATCAAATTTCCTTCAATTGTCTACCTTCTGCCTTGAGTTCCTCTGTTATCCATTGATTTTTTGTGGATTGCCTATCAATTTTTATTTTTATTAATGAACATGTTAGATCCAAAGCGTATAGTAATATATTGAAAAAATTCGAGTATCCTTCGTTTATTTCTAAGCCACTTTCATACACAGATTGGTAGTTTTCGTTACTTGAAAATTCTTTCAATTTCGATAAGTTATCCTGACACGCAGTTCTTTTCGTAAATTTTTTCGATACTCTATCATTCTTTTGCAGTCTACCTTTTATTGAAATATCAAACCATAATGGTCACTGAGATCCATTTTCTCGACTTTTTCATTGTATATTGACATTTAAGATTCGAGAGTAGAGAGGACATCATTCCACCAACGACTCCAATAATCAGAACAACCATCTTGACAGAGTGATCTGGATAGAGTCTTATTATTACTATTATTATTATTGAATACTGAATTATATTCCTTCAAAGTCCATTCGTCCAATTTCCATTTTTTCAGGTCTTTATCAAATCTGAACTGAAGGTCGGAGTGATTTTCGTGAAGGAAGGGCAATATACCGAAGAAGAAATTTTAGACAATAACGACAACACGCTTTTGTTCGAAGAGTTTTTACAAATATTAGGAGAAAAGGTTAGACTGAGAGGTTTCGATAGATACAAAGGTGGGCTGGATACTGTACACGACCTCACAGGTTTATATTCGGTCTACACCAATTGGAGGAACATCGAAATCATGTTCCACGTCAGTACGCTCTTGCCTTATGAACGCCACGATCCGCAGAAGTTGCAGAGGAAGAGGCACATTGGGAACGATATCGTCTGCGTGGTTTTCCTCGAAGCTGACAATACTTCGTTTTCTCCTGCTTGTATCAAGAGCCACTTTCTACACACTTTCATCTTGGGTAAGTTGAAAATAAGACAGTCGATGTAAAACTTATTAAAAAATGAATATACTTAAGAAAGCCCATCATAATTGCTTTGAAAAATTGTTAAACGAAATGAAAATACAAAAAAGCTTCAAGAAGTTAAAGAGAACAACATCTGAGCTAGCAGCCTGGGGTCGAAAGTTCACTCTACGGAGATGAAGGTTATATCTCTGAGTCTAAATTACCACTGTCAGTCAATGCACATACTGATGTTGATGTCCGCCGCAGTAGTGAACGAAATATTCGTTGCTACAAGTTCCTCTAGACCACGCCATACCAGCCTGGATTTTGTTGTCTCTAATTGTTACGCCGGCCATAAAAGCCTGTTATTAAGGATCATTTGGCATTCACTACCAAAATCTATAGGCTAGATCTATGCCATGCTGGTAAACAAAACTGCAACTACGACTCTTCAAGGCGAGGCCATCAGGTTCAGGTTCACCAGGGGCTGCCCTAAAGGTGTGGTTTTTTTTTTGGTACATTGGGAGCTGTCTGACTTGTCCATTTAGTCCAAGTCTCCAGAAAACACTGCAGCCTCTTGGGCTTATTGCGTTCATTCTCCCATCTTCTCATGACACCCATTCCATCAGTATCGTTCCCTGTACTAGTTTGTACAGGTTCCGTGTTGGATGTAAGTCATATTCTTCTGGACGTCATTTCGTACATCCATATATTGCCTGCCTCCTGTGATTCAGTGCCTCACATTCGCATGAGTTGTGTAGAGTTGTTTCTATCCCTTCGTTGCACAATCTGCAGCTGATGTCTTCATTGTACAGCTCCATTTTATTCAGGTGTCCTCTAAGCGGACAATGACCAGTAAGTAACCGTTTAATTATTCAGAGCCGATCCCTACTATATTGAAGTAGTTCTTCGGTTTTTTACTCGAACAATTCCCTAATGGAGGTTCTACTGTGTTTGTTGCCAGGTACTTTAGTCCAGTACTATGTGTGCTTCTTATTGGTCCATGTCCTAACTGGTTTCGTACCAATGATTTTGGTACCCACAGAGCTGGTTGAGGACCTATATATGAAGTTAATGATACGCGTCTAGCGCATCCATCAGCTTCATCATTACCTGTGATTCCTGAATGCCCTGGCACCCAGTACAAAGTTCATTCAGTTTTTCATTTCTCCATTCAGTCTTTGCACCTTGCCTAGTTTGTTGATGGCGGTCGCCTGCTTCATCTTTGGCCACCAGACCAGAGATGCGTATGTTATCATGGGTTCAACCACCATCGTGTATAGCCAATACACCATGTCTGGTTTTAGCCCCGATGTTTTTTCATAGGTGCGTCTGGCGAGCATCAGTGATACCTCAGCTTTCCTCTTTATTCTGTCCAACTGTTGGTTCCAGATCAGTTTGGAATCTAGAATTACTCCCAGATATTTAACCTCTCCCGACACCAGTATTTCTTCACCTCGAAGTTTTAGAGGTCCGCGACCCTCTGTTTTAGTCCTCTTGGTGAATGCTACTATGGTCGATTTGGATGGGCTTATGTTGAGCCCTTCTTCTTCAGTCCATCTTATTATAATATTCAGGGCCTGCTGCATGCATCCCTTCACTACATTATTGTATTTACCCTGGACTAAGATGACTAAATCGTCTGCATTACCCAGTGCTTTATACCCATTTTGGTCCAGGAGACATAATAGCTCGTCCATTACAAGGTTTCCCCCCTGAGGACAGCATCTTGCCACCCGTGCCACAACTGTTTCCCCCATAATGGTTTTATATACCAATATTACACTTAGCATGCAGTCTATCCACCTACAGCTTGTCTTGTCATTCCCTCTTCTCCTCGACGCCTGGATGATTGATTCTAACGAAGTATTGTCAAATGCGCCTTCAATGTCCAAGAAAGTAGCTAAAAGTATTTCTTTGTTTTTGTAAGTATGTTGTACTTTTTCTGTTACTCAACATAGAGCCGTTTCTGGTGACACACCGGACCTGTATACCTATTGATCTCGATATAATGGTCTGATAGCCAGTGATACGTCCCTAAAGGTGTGGTACTATCTATCCTTCTGTGATTGTTCCTTATATACAATCTGATTGGTGCTCTCGATAGAAGGAAAGTTGATCTGCAAGCTTTTACAAATAACTTCATCATCTTGGCAAGGTTCAAGTCGGAAAGAGTGGCTTGAAATATCCACTTAAGCACGATAGACGCTGTTCACAGTTGGTGCCTGAGGAAGCAGATTTCTAACAACCCTAGCAAAACTGTGATAATCCCCCTCACCAGAAGGAGAAAATTGGACAATTTAACACCACTTGTCCTCCATGATGAGGTTGTTTCACTTGGAATGGAGGTGAAATATCTTGGTAATGTTCTTGATAGAAAACTCACCTGGAACGCTCACTTGGAAAAAGTTTTACAGAAACCCAGACTGTTCTTATGGATATGTCGGAGGATTTGTGATAAAACCTTTGATTCAGGTCCCAAATAAATCCATTGAATTTATGTGATGATTGTCAGACCTATGATCACTTATGGTACAATTGCCTGGTGGCCGAAGGCCAGAAAACAGCTTAGACAAAGATCTCTGGCTCACAGAGACAAGCTTGTCTGGTCATCAGTGGTGGCATCAGTACCACACCGTCAGCTGCCATTGAGATCCTTCTAGATCTACCTCCTATTCACATTTTTCTGGAGAAAGAGGCTGGATGGGCTACCTAACCTAACCTAAACACCTTGAATACCAACAAATTATGTATGATACCCATGAATCTCGACATCATAATAGAAGTGTATTCATATAAAAAGACATTTCGAATTCAAATTGAATAGAATTCCAATTAAATCGAAAAGAATACGCGACGTATTAGTGATGTATCCACCCGCGTCAAGTAAGTCGATTATTGATAACAAATACGACTGTAGTCATCTAACTGGTGACTGCCAGCTCATTATTTCATTGGTGTAGCAAAACAAATGAATATTTACAATTTTCTTCTTTTGTTTTTAGTTCGAACATCTCCTAGGATAAAAAGGAAACCCACCCGTTACGAAGTGTCCGTTGTAACAAGAGATGAAGTTGGTGCGTACAAACCTTATTTGTGGGAACAAAGTGTTTTCGACAAGGGATCAATGTTTCGAGAATGGCTCCTCACGAAAATTGTCAATGGAGAAAGGGCTAGCTATTCAGCACCAAAATTTGCAAGGATGCAAGAAAGGACGAGGTCGCAGATATTGGAGGACATTGTTGCGAATCTACAAAATCACGCTGAGACTGGACAAATTCCAAAGCCCTACAGGAGAGGTGGGTTCTGTTCAAGTTCTATTTTAACCAATTACAATGTATACTGGTCTTAGTAGTACCTACCTAACATTCTGACGTGAACCGAATACGCCTTACAGTTGTGATAACTTTCAAACCATTGTGATGGTACCCCACCACTATACACATCATCATCCTCACCACACTCTGAAATCATAAATACAACTGTACACGTAGCTTGTCAGTCAGTCGTTGTTGAGCTATAACCTCCGTCAGTCAATCAACGCATATACCACTGATGAAGTCTGCCTCAATACCAGACAAAACTTTTGGTACTTCAGGTTCCTTTCGACTACGGTACCAGCCGTATTCTCTTCAACTGCAGCATATATGTTTCTGAAATAGATGAGGTTTAGTATTGCTCCAGTATCAACAGTTGTATGGATTCACTTACCATTCATATGAAAACATGTAGAGATGCCTAAAAAGCGGTACTTTTACCATTCTCATAAAAGAATTATACTTCATTTCAGAGATGAGAGAGATGAACTTGGAGCATTATCGAAGCTGTTCTAGCACAATTTCATAAAAAACCTACCAATTCTGTAATTTCTTGCAGTGTAACATATAAATCCTCAATATAAGCAGAAATGTTTCGCTGTTCTAGTTCTGAGGAAAGTTTCTGTTGAGAGTGGAAAGAAAGTTTTGTATCACACTTTTTCTTTGAAAACAATATGTGGAAACCACAACAAATTCAAGATCACGTAAAGAATGGAAGTGTGACAAAAGGTTGTCGAATTAATATGGATAATTATTTCAATCTCCTTTTCTTCAGGTTCTTGGAGACCCATTGGCCACATGCGACCTTCTTCCCCGCTCTTGGACAGTGTTCGTGATCAGTTCGAAGGTTACGACCAAATCGCCAAGGATTTCACCAAAATGTTTCTCAATAACGAGCCGAATACTACCATCAACGCCCAATTATTCGACGTGGTATTCATGGTTGGTCAGTCGAAACAAAAGATCAAGTTGGTGGGTGTGAGAGCTATTTTAGCGGTGAGTATTTCTTTTGGTGCACACCAAGGTTCTGTCCTTGGACCTGTTTTGTTTCTCATATGTACTTGATTCGCCTGGATCTATTGTCTTGAGGCGCTACGTACAAAAAATTATTGAAATTGGAAGAAGGGTCCACACTCGATGATAGAGCCACGTCTTTTTTCTTACAGAGAATAAAAAACGCAATTCAAAAAGAAAATGCTCAACAAGACGGATAAAGAATAAAGCAAACGACAAAGCAAAAATCCTCTGTGACTCGTTTACAAATAGTATATCATAGAAAGAGATTAACACGAGCAATTTGCCAGGCTGAGGCGATATTTTGTTTCTCCTTTTTCCCTGTTGTTACAGGAACAGATAGAATCACCACATCTCAGGCTATTCAAAATGCAGGAGCGGTTAATGGATTAAAAATAGTTCCAACAATGAGCTCAATGGTTTGAAAAATATCAGTAACGGTGTTTCAGAAATAGTACAATCCAATATTTATTAAACACAAGATGGTTCCTGAACTATTTCAAAAATGATATGTACATCAAAGACATTTATACTAATATTTATAGTATGAAGGAGTTCTAACCAAAACACTAGCAGAAGTATAGGTGAAAATGTTGTTGTTGCGGTATCCTACAATTTCTTTGAACAATCAAATTATAAGATCTAATATTTATAGTATGGAGGAGCTCTAACCAAAACACTAGCAGAAGAATAGGAGACAGGTGGTGAACACAATTTTGAACAATCAAATTATAAAACCTGCCACCTGTTTTATGGGATATGTGCAGTAAAATGTCAAATAGTTACTCAGATAACTTTTGGAAGGTGCACACGAGGATCATGAAAGTCCTGATCAAGATATCTGAGGATGGACAACTCCAAGATTGTAATCAATTTCATTGGATAGTTACAATCTACGTTGAAGTGTACATTCTGCAGATAATTATTGATGACCTTCGATTGATACGTCCACAAATTTTAGAAATAAATTTGAAAACAATTTTTTGCTACAGAGAGTTTTTGAGATGAACCACATGTCACCATCTATTTTCCACTGGAAGGTTTGGAGATTAGTAATTATGCAGGTAGTAATATGACCACCTGTTATTATCTTTATGCAGTTTTGAATCACAGTAGAGCTGCCAATAGTGGAGATTACATTCAAGAGTATCGCCAATTTCACCAAAATCCCTAGTGACTGAAAAGATTGGTGAAATCAGCGCCAATGATAAATTAACTGATAATTATGTTTTCAAGTTTCTGTTTTAATTGTTTTTGTGTTCTGTTATCCGATCACAACATTAGTTATGTGTCATTTATTCTATTCACAATTCTTCCAGCTGATAAAGTAATGTCTCTCACCTGCCAGTAACTTGGAAATGTATTTCGTAGGTCCGCAGCAGAGTCTTCCAGGAAATGCTCTACGGCATCCAGACGGGCTTCGGTTCCCCCCAGGTCCCCGTCGCAGAAATTCTGGCTCGACCCGTTCCCTCGCTGCTCAGTCCGCAGCAGTTTCGGCTGAAGAGCAGCAATTTTCTGCAAGTGCCTGACCCGGAGACGCCGCGCCCGAAGAGCGTGCCCAGTTCACCCATGGTGAAGAGAGCCATCACGAGACTGGGCACCATCACGGCCGGGTGGGGGAGGTCCATCAGGAAGCACAACGCCCAGCAGCTCTCTTCGGACGATAAGAAGAAGTGGGCCAGCAGCCACGATTGTTCAAGTCAGTATATCTAATACATTAATATCACTAGAGTTCTATCCCAACAAACCGTGTTTCGATCACCAAGTGATCATCTTGAAGAGGAAGATTGAACTGTTCAATATTCTTCTTGAAGATGATCTTTAAGATTGAAGTGTTCAATATTCCTCTTGAAGATGATCACTTGGTGGCTGAAACACGTGTCGAGGTATTGAAAATAACGGTTTGGTGTTGGGATGAAACTCCATTAGTATTCATTACTACACCAGAGGTTCCAAACAGTGCATCACAAGTATCTGATGTATAAAACACAGTTACAAAATCGTCTTAGTTAGACTATTTATAATTCAAGACAGTTGAACCAATTTTCATAATCATTCATTTGTTGGATTTGTCTCCGCCCGAATTAGTAGAATATCAAGACATTTGGAGAATTAAGAAGAAAAATTGCATATTCAACAAATTGGTGAGGAAATAAGACAAATGCCTGGTCACGAAACGTCAAAGTACACCATTGGGGATACTAGTGTTCTATGAACATGACATTTTATAACAATAATTTTGAAACAATGATAATGATGAGATGATAATAATTATCAAGTCAATTATGAAGTAACCAACCCTAGCGCAGTTCGAAGCTTATTTCAGAGAGCTTCAGCAGCCTGAGCTCAATGAACTGCGCAACCCGATAACCCCGGATGGCGTTCGAAGTGCCCTTGTGGGATCCAAGAACTTTGCCGCTCCAGGCTTAGATGGACTGAACACTTATTTGCGGAAAAAACTAACAAGCACCCACCGCCATTTGGCCAGATTTTTCAACTCATGGCTGGACGGAGAGCAGCCGATTCCAGATTGGTTTGTCGAGGAGCGGACCGTTCTCATCCCCAAAAGCGGAGATTTGTCGATTCCAAAGAATTACAGACCTATAACATGCTTGAATTCGTGTTATGAGTTGTTTACAAGCATCTTATACACACTAATACTCACCGCAGTTGACCGAGTGTTCGAACGGATATATGGGCAGAGAAGGCCGAAGAGAGGAGTCGCTGGATGTGAAGAAAACCCGCTCATCGATAGATGTGTAACGCAGGACCTTGAGGCATTGATACAATTTCGCATGAGCTCATCTTGCATTTGCTCAGCTGCCTTGCGGTACCCGACAAAATAGTGAGATACATTGAACAAGTGATACCACTCTGGCGAACTCGCTTCACCATAATATCTGGTCAAGCAGAAGTCCAAACAGGGTGGGTCACTTTAAGAAGGGGTGTATTTCAGGGCGACTCCTTCAGTCTCCTTCTTTTCTGCATCTCACTATTGCCATTATCCGTTGCGCTCAGAAATACTCGAGGGTATAACTGTGGCACCTCCGGAAACCGGAGGCACAAGGTCACCCATTTGTTTTATATGGATGATCTTAAACCTTATGCCTCTGGAGAGAAGGATCTTCATCAGTCCTTGAGGGTGGTGGAAGAGTACACGCATGCTATCGGTATGGATTTCGGGATAGACAAATGTGCAATGGTCCATCTCAAAAACAGGACGATGCGGGGACTACGGAGATGATGTGCAACTCGTAGATGGAAGCATCCTACACCATTTGGATGACGGAGAGACGTATACTTACCTCGGGGTGGAACAAAGCCACTCACAAGAGGTAACAGCAGTGAAGAACTCTCTCCGCGGCAAGTATCAGCACAAGCTTCGAAAGATCTGGTCATCGGAACTGTCAGGGAAAAACAAAGTTGCGGCAACAAATATGCTTGCCATTCCAATCTTACTCTACTCGTTTGGAGTAGTGAAATGGACTCGAGAGGTATCAACTCGACTCAAAGACCTGGAAAATGATGCATCTTTATAGGAGTATGGATCCCAAATTGTCCGTTCCACGGTTGTACTTCCCCCGATAACAGGGAGGCCGTGGACTTTTGAGTTTGGAGTGTCTACATGACAGAATTGTGCTGGATATGGCCTGTAAAGTCGTCAGGAGTTTGGATACCCTTCTCTGCATGGTCCGTGGCCATGAAAGAGCAGAAATTGGAATATTCCTCTTCAAGGCAGCGGCTGATGAGCTCGGTTTATTTTTTGACACTGAAGGAGGTGATCACCAAGTTGAAACTCTTTAAGCAAAAGGTTCACATAAAAGCAGCAGAGATCACTTCACTACTGCGGCAATACAAAGATAAGCTAATGCATGGGGTCTTCTTCAACAACATTGAAGACCCCGTCGTATCAAAGCAACTGAACCTCGCTTTTCTCAGGTTGAACCCGCAAACTGAGGGGTTCATCATGGCCTTCCGGGATGGTATGTCTAACACCTCAGTCTATCGCAGTAGCGTGATGGGTATAGAGGTTCCTATTACTAGGTATAGAGCCTGCTGCAAGGCATTTGAGACTTCATTGACATAGAATGAATATAGGCTACGGGGATATTGAATCTGTTTTGGGGAAGTTCCGAATTCATCGGAACTATTCAACTTCAGACTCATACAACCTAGTGGACCTGATGTAATTCTTCGCCATCATCAGAGCAGGATATTGGTGATGGATTTTTCTGCTCCATTTGAGAAAAATATCTTCTGATAAGAGGAAGAAAATATCGAGACTTTCTCTTCGAACTTCGCAGACTATATCCATATCCTTAACCCTCTGTCAAGACGGTTGTTGACAGTACTTGTCATGTGGCATTGTACCAATAAGTAGTCTATATACAATGCATACAGCAACCATATTTGAGGGTTCAAATAATTATTTTTAAATAAATCTCTTTTTAAGTATGCCAAACTTCTAAAAAGATTCAATGGAGAAATATGCCCTCAATTTTGAACAATATTTTAATAAATATTCTGCAGAATATACAAATAAACAAACTTCTCGAATTATTGCGAAACTCAAAAATCATTGATGACCTTACTATATTTTCTTTGCAGATAAAGATGATAAAGATAAAGACGGAAAGGAAAAACCGAACCTGTCGCAACTTCCCGTACCAAGACTAAGCGTATGCGCTAATGCTCAAAAAGTAGATACGTTAAAAATGGCCCAGACTGAATTTTCTATCATAGAATTTGACGCCGACACTTTTAAGGTATTACTGGATTATCTGCACACGGGGACCTGTCCTCTCACCTGCGGCAATGTTCCTGGATTGATATGCGCAGCTGAACATTACGACCTACCTGAGCTTCTTCAGGCGTGCTTTCATCATGCCAAACAGTTTTTGAGGATGGAAGTGGTAAGTCGCTTGTGGAATAAAAAACTTGGTAAACTTTAATGACCCGCGAGTTCAATTTTAGAATTCAATAGCCGTAGCCAGCATGTTATTTTACTGACTTTTCGTCTACTACTGCGGTAGACAATATCAGGCAGTACGCGCTATGAGTGGTGGTGGAACTCATCTTAATGCCCTTGATAATGTCTACCAAAGGTTCACCAACCAATCTAAGGTGATCATTTATTTTAAAAATTGATTACATGGCTCAAAATGGGCAACTAAACAGTCAATCAAGACAGTATTTTTGCTACTATGGAGCGGTCCGATTCAAACCTTCCTTCTAAATTTCTGGAAAACACTGCAAGCTGATGATTCTGTTCTTTGTCCCCTTTTCCCATATTTTCTTGACACTGATTCCAATGTGTTTGTTTCTTGAATCAGTGTCCATTTGATATATTGTGTGCAGCTGAAGTATGTGGTTTGGCCAATCAACCAACAACTGCGGTGGCAGAAATTTGGGAAGCTATCCTGGAATGCCATTGGAAAACAAATCCACATTATTTTAGAAATAATATGAAACCGAGAAAGGTTAATGCAGTCAAGCTGCTGGGAAATAATTGCATGAAAATTGAAAGATAAATAGATAAATACTACTCTGGTCATTCCCATATTGATTTCAATTTAAGGGTCACTGATAAACGGCTGTTTCAGCTGTGGACACAGAACTCCAAAAAAAGGGGCAAACCGTGAACACGTGTTTCTGGCTATTGGCCTCATCAGCGCAGTACAACCTAGAGCAAAGAGGGGCAACAGTTGTTTGCCGAAAATAGGAAACAAAACATACGCACGGAGTCAACCGCACATTTGTGGTTCCAGTTAGAAGACCTAGAATTCCCAGGCTACATCTAACATGACCACGGAGTCAACCGCACATTTGTGACTCCAGTTAGATGACCTAGAATTCCCAGGCTACATCTAACATGACCACGTAGGCAGCTATAGCTACCTGCGTGTTGTGTCCACGAATTGTTTCATTTTTCATTTATATAATACACACTCGATAGCATCTATATCTTTGTTTATATCCTGGACCCTTGATGTCATGCTGGTAGCTATAGCTGCCTACGCGGTCATGTTAGATGTAGCCTGAGAATTCTAGGTGTTCTAACTGGAACCACAAATGTGCAGTTGGCTCCTGTTGTTGACTCCGTGAGTGAGTATTGTTTATTATTTTCGGCAAACAAGTGTTGCCCATCTTTGTACTAGGCTGCACCGCGCTGATGAGGCCAATAGCTAGAAACACTTTTCCGCGGTTTGCCCCTTTTTTGGACATACTGTATAGGACACCAAAATCCATGGTATAGGACCAAACCAAGCAATAGATCTATAAAAAAACTTTAAAACATTCGAAACAATTTTTATAAAAGAAAATACCTACAACAACTGCTACAACAAAGCAAGGATCGAACATTTACCTGGCTACCCACTGGACACCGTCCACTTAAATAACATTTGAATGGAATAGGGCAGTATATAGAAGCTCTCAGTTGCATGCATGAGATTAAGAGGATTGACACAAATTGTATGTGAATGTGGTCATCAACTGTATCACAAAAGGCAAGCAGTAATTCAAGAGGACAACCCAAATTATGTCCCGTAGAATAACATCCAACAAAGAAAACTTTTCACTTACAAGTATTTACAAACTAGTACAGAGTACAAGGTGATTTTTGGAATGGATTTATTGAAAATATTATCTTTCAGGCTACAGCTTGTCAAATGTAAAAAGAACTTCCTAAATTTTGGTATGATTCTGGCCACTAGATGCGCGTTAGAAGACGCGCATCTAGATGTGCGTTAGAAAATCTCGCAATGTATACATTGGTTGGTTCTCATCCAACTTCACCCTTATGCATTATCTGTCAGCAAATGGGCCGATTGTGAGAGTTCTCAAGAATCTTTCTACATTTAATCTGTACAAAATCAATTCATAGAGATCGATCAACAAGTTTTTCATGAAATTTCAAGCGTTTGATATTTCAGTATTCAGAATATTTGTTCAATAGCAGAATGGAATACTTCAATGTTGATCAGAATCAAATTCGTTCGGGATTACTTTCTGTAGACATTAGAATGTATAATCAGTAAAGGTAAATACAACTCTGCGTTTGTACTATTTACTTCAGTTTGGTTCAGTAAGTCGAGCTGTCTGAATAGTAATGAAGAGGTTTGGGGTTGAAACTCGAGATGAAGTACTTTTTTAAGTGAAAGATAAACATCGAAACAGTAACGGGTTTTTCATGTATAAAATATTATGACTTATATGTTTATATGTATAGTTTTTGGGAAAGAAAGCAAGAACATTTCTTTCAAACTTTCTTTGGAAGCTTCCCATATATTTTGTATAAAGATGGGGAAGAAGAAAGCCAAACCCTTTATTTCCCAAAGAATATGTTTTCTTAACTATTTCAGTGTGAATATAAATTGAAAACATCTTCTGGCTAAATATCCCATGTACACTAATAAATCCTCATGATTTCATTAAATTATCTCGAGCAAGATGCTTGCTTTCACTGTAATTTCAGGAATTGCACTAAAATTATTTTATACCGTGCGTTTCAGTTGAAACCAGCCACGCTAATAAGTCTTCAGACATTTAGACTGTGAAAAAATCGTGAAACACGTCAACTTTAGTTTTCAGAGAACACATCTCTGCATGAAGATCAACCCTCTGTCACCCCCCCCCCTGACAACAACCCTAATGTCAAAAGTATCAAATGGAAATGATACAATGATGACAATGACAAAACAGTGCCTTTATAGTCAAAACAACGTCAATATGGTCGCTCAAACTGGATTGAGAATCAACAAACAAGCTCAAGAGCTTATAGGCAAAACACAAGCACTACAGGAAAATCCTTAAGGCGCTCTCAGAGCGGTGCCTGTGCAAAAGTAGCAACTCACGTTGGATTTGAATCGCTGGAGAATAAATCCATTTGGGAAAACGTTCTCAGGAAGTTTATTCCACATAAACGCAGTTCTCCAGATAACAGAGTTCTTGAACAGTGAAGTTCGAGGTGTGTTGAGTTGAAGTCCGTCGCATATTTCTGAATGTACTGCTCTTGATGGAATCAAATGTGCCATATCACTCGAACACCTCCCGTGAAAGTATCTATAGAAGAGAGGCAATTCTCCAACCTTTCTTCGATGCTCCAGGCTATCAAGGTTGCACGTGATGTTCGCGTCTCCAATCAGGGGGATGGCTCTTTACTGAATGGAATCCAGCAACTTCAGGGTATGTTTGGGGGCAGAGCTCCATACAATTCTCCAAAGAAACCCGTGGGTTGGGCTCCTATCGGGCGTGTCCCCAGATGGTGGATAGGGGAACGGCCAGGTGACTGGAAGCCCTGTCCGGGGAGCCAATGTGGCTTACGGACGGGGTCGCCGGACTCTTGGTCAGTGGCAGAAATAAGTAGGGTAAGGGGAACTAAAACCCCCAAAAACCTTTGCAAAACATGCCACCGTGAACCAGTCATCCCAAGCTAAAGTGTAAGGAATCGTGCCGACAGCTGAATGGCCGCAGGGTGATATGCGGCCCCTTGGTGAACTAGACGAAACCTCACTGTAATCAGCCTACCTCTGGTAATGCGGGGCTCTGCCAGAGGTGACAACAGAAACAACAAAAACAAAACCAGTCCCGAGGCTGGACAGAAGTGCTTACCTCAATCTAAGGCGATGGCTGGGAATGAGACACCTCAAGGTTGCCAAAGAGCTTGTGTGTTTGCCGAGTCTTGGCCTACACCTGCCAATATAAAGGAGATGTCTCCTAGTGACGTGTTCACCTTCCTGGAAAGGACAGGATGGACGATGACCTAGAAGGACAACTCCTCGGAAGAATGTACAATGGGCCACATGTGGCATAAGTGCTGTGAGTCTACACTCATCCTCCCTACTCTACAGATACCAGGTACCAGATACTCCAAAGAAGGTCTGATCTGAGCTTTATAAAGCACCAAAAGTTGCTGAGGTGTGTACAGTATTCCAAGCTTTCAATTCCAACCTTTGCAATTCCAGTGACATGATTGTGCTAAAACATATTGGTATCCATTTTAACCCCCAACAAGTTTGTCGTAGCAGAAAGCGGTTCGGAGACATTTATCTTCTTGGAGAACACCGATGCCTAGGTTTTTGTGGCATTGAATTGAACCTGATTACTTCCACCCCAATTTGAAATCACTTCTAGATCCTCACTAAGATATGCAGCCTCCTGCTGCCGGTGTAGATGTGCCTCCGCAGACGATGTCCTAGAATCCAAATTAAATGACGATTGACTTCACTACCACAATATCAAAGAGAAAATACGACAGTATTCATTTTCGTTCCGTCTAGAATCAATCCATTTTTAGATCAGTAATCATGCATCTTGGAAACCGCTATGTTTGCTTGAGACGAGAAACCTTCACAATCCGTGGAACTAAGTGCAGAAGAAGTATCGTCAGCAAATTTAACAGTACAATTTTGTGCAGTAGGTCCGAGAACACAACCCTGGGGAATCCCTGCCGTGATTTCGAAGGTATCAGAATGAAATGTTCCAGGTTCTATCGAAATTAGATAATTCACGGAAAGGTGTGCTACACCTAATATTCTTCAAAATGTAAGGGAGGAAACATAAACTTTTAATTTTTTTCGGCATTGCTTATTGTTATAATATCAATAGTTTAACATGATTGGATGTACTCTACTATCTTTCCATTTGAAAGTTTTGACATGTTGGTTGTAATGAGGAGGAAATGGTTGATATGTAGAAATGTGCCCCCCTGATAACTGAAGTTGTTTAAACTGTAATATACTGTATACCTACAAGTGCTCTCAGTCTGTTAGTAATGATAATGATGCAAATTATTTTTTTGTTTTCTTCACAGGCTTGCTCGATGCTGGTCGCTCTGGAGAACTATTACTGGAGGTACACCTCTGCGTCGGAGTTGGTGAACATGATATTAGTGTTTTTGGAGTCAAGATGCTCAATATTATTCAATATGGATGACTTTTACGAATTGAGCGAGTCTGTTGTCCAAATGATTATGAGCAGGTAGATGACGAATGATATTAACGCATATCGTCATTGGGGCAGATTTTTTTGAGAAAAGCAGCGCCTTCCATGACCCTCGTGTATTCTTAGAATTTTTTGTGAGTTCAAAGTTTATTCCACATAAACGCAGTTCTCCAGATAAAAGAGTTCTTGAACAGTGAAGTTCGAGGTGTGTTGAGTTGAAGTCCGTCGCATATTTCTGATATGTACTGCTCTTGGTGGAATCAAATGTGCCATATCACTTGAACACCTCCCGTGAAAGTATCTATGGAAGAGAGGCAATTCTCCAACGTTTCTTCGATGCTCCAGGCTATCAAGGTTGCACGTGATGTTCGCGTCTCCAATCAGGGAGATGGCTCTTTACTGAATGAAATCCAGCAACTTCAAGGTATGTTTTGGGGCCACAGCTCCATACATGAGAACAATACTCTAAAGAAGCCTGTGGGCTCCTATCGGGCGTGTCCCCAGGTGACGGATAGGGGAACAGCCAGGGAACTGGAGGCCCTGTCCGGGAAGCCAATGTGGTCTTACGGAAGGGGTCGCCGGACTCCTGGTCAGTGGCAGAAATAAGTAGGGTAAGGGGAACTAAAACACCCCAAAAGCCTTTGCAAAACATGCCACCGTGGACCAGCCTACCCAAGCTAAGGATTCTTGCTGACAGCTGAATGGCCGCAGGGTGATATGCGGTCACGAACGATCCCCTCGGGGAACTGGACGAAACCTCACTGTAATCAGCCTACCTCTGGTAATGCCGGGCTCTGCCAGAGGTGACAACAGAAACAGCAAAAACAAAAACCAATCCCGAAGCTGGACAAAAGTGCTTACCTCAATCTAAGGCGATGGCTGGGAATGAGCAGAAATGTCCACTCCAATCTACCGCTTAGAATGAGGCTGAACATAGCAGATCACCTCCAACAGCAAAGGCACTTCCAGCGGCGGGCGCCAAGAGCTCCGCCTTGTATAAAGGCAAGGAACCGGCTGTCCATGCAGGAAAGCTCCCTCACTTGTGCACCTCCACGAAGGGAACCTCAAGAAGGTTGAAGAAGCCGCGCAACGACAGTAATATCGCTGCACCTTCCAAAACCTTCGCAGAGGTCACCGTGAGACACCTCAAGGTTGCTAAAGAGCTTGTGTGTTTGCCGAGTCTTGGCCTACACCTGCCAATATAAAGGAGATGTCTTCCAGTGACGTGTTCACCTTCCTGAAGAGGACAAGATGGACGGTGACCTAGGAGGACAACTCCTCGGAAGGATGTACAATGGACCACTTGTGGCATAAGTGCTGTGAGTCTACACTCAGCCTCCCTACTCTACAGATACCAGGTACCAGATACTCCAAAGAAGGTCTGATCTGAGCTTTATAAAGCAACAAAAGTTGCTGGGGTGTGTACAGTTTCTGGTTCGGAACAGTATTCCAAGCTTTTGAGAAGCAACCTTTGCAGTTCCAGTGACATGATTGTGCCATTTTAACCCCCAACAAACTTATTGAAGCAGAAAGTGGTTCGGAGACATTTATCTTCTTAGAGAAAACCGATGCCTAGGTTTTTGTGGCATTGAATTGAACCTGGTTACTTCCACCCCAATTTGAAATCACTTCTAGATCCTCACTAAGATATGCAACCTCCTGCTGCCAGTGAAGATGTGCCTCCGCAGTCGATGTCCTAGAATCCAAATGAAATGACGATTGACTCAATGGATTGACTTCACTACCACAATATCAAAGAGAAACTATGACAGTATTTATTTTCATTTCGTTTAGAATCAATCCATTTTTAGATCAGTAATCATGCATCTTGGAAACCGCTATGTTTGCTTGAGACGAGAAACCTTCACAATCTGTGGAACTAAGTGCAGAAGAAGTATCGTCGGCAAATTAAACTGTACAATTATTGCAGTAGGTCCGAGAACACAACCCAGATTCCAGGTTCTATCAAGATAATTCACGGAAAGGTGTGCTACACCTAATGTTCTTCAAAATGTAAGGGAGGAAACATAAACTTTTAATTTTTTTCGGCATTGCTTATTGTTATAATATCAATAGTTCAACAGGATTGGATGTGCTCTACTATCATTTCCATTTTTGAAAGTTTTGACATGTTGGTTGTTATGAGGAGGTAATGGTTGATATGTGGAAATGTGCCCCCCTGATAACTGAAGTCGTTTAAACTGTAATATACTGTATACACCTACAAGTGCTCTCAGTCTGTTAGTAATGATAATGATTCAAATTATTTTTTTGTTTTCTTCATAGGCTTGCTCGATGCTGGTCGCTCTGGAGAACTATTACTGGAGGTACACCTCTGCGTCGGAGTTGGTGAACATGATATTAGTGTTTTTGGAGTCAAGATGCTCAATATTATTCAATATGGATGACTTTTACGAATTGAGCGAGTCTGTTGTCCAAATGATTATGAGCAGGTAGATGACGAATGATATTAACGCATATCGTCATTGGGGCAGATTTTTTTGAGAAAAGCAGCGCCTTCCATGACCCTCGTGTATTCTTAGAATTTTTTGTGAGTTCAAATGGGTTTTCTGTCAAATTGCCTCCTACGAAAAACACAGGCTTATGAGCAAAGGAATAATGAAGTCTTTCTTTTCAACATGAGATTTCCAGCATACTTAGAACGTGCCATATAAGTCATACATTGAGCCCCAGAGCAATGATCGAACCTTCACTCATCATGTCAGTGATTCATTTCTAACTAACCGAATATTTTTAGTAAACATGGAAATGTTTGTGTACAAAAACGGCATCTAACTAGACGAAGTCGTGTATCAAGAACAAAACATTTACTATTATCCATCAACAGGCAGCGTTATTTTCACATGCCCTAGACTTCATCAGTGGTACTAGGCTAAGCCGCGAATGTCTCTGAAGGACAGTACTTGGTTAAAATAGGCATGGGCATATTTTCTTACTAGGGGATTAACAGAAAATCCCTACTTTGCTCATCTCAGATCAACTCATGACTATTGGACTGGCAAACACGCTGCCTCAAAAATAGTTCGAGGGGGAGATCACTTATATACATGATAGATTCACTAATGTTCTTACTTTTGGAGACAACTCTTTCCCAATTTGCTTTCACAGTATCTTGATCTATTTGCTCCTTATCTGAAGTACGTTTATTAGGCTTTCACCTCTTACCTAGGAAAGAGTAACATCCTTTCAAAAAGTCTTAAGAATCCAGTAGGGTCACGGGATAGCGCTGCTTTTCTCAAAAAAATGTGCCCACTGTTCACAATCTCAATAATTCTAGGAATCTTGACGTACCTGAAATCGCGAAATTTCAAGCAATCCATGAGTGGGCAAAACATAAAATCAAGAATAAAACTTCCAATAAATTGGATGCCAAATTAGAGTTCAGGGGTATAATGGAACGATTAACTAGAGAACTCAAATTGTACAGAATTACTCCACAGGAAATTATTAAGGTAAGGATGATCATGAAATACTGTAGACATTTTCATTTACAATCGATTTTCCTTTTATGGGAGTCATTAGCGAAGACCTATCTTTAGAAGTGATAATGCTGAAGATTCAGAAGATTATAGGCCAATAACATCATTGAAACTCTACAGTATAATCGGTAATACTGATATTGAATTGGCTAAATTAAAAATGAAGTTGGTCTAAACATCGTTCCTTGAGGAACTCCTCGAAAATTTTTCAGTCTTGACCTTATCATTTCATTGTAGCACACATATTGATATCTATTAGAAAAACAGTTCTTTAACCATGTTGGTGTAGGCCTACGATGCCTGTTTCTTCAAGACAGTTAGGCTCAATATTTTTTGAAAAAATTTGATTTGATAAATTGGTTAAGGCTTTCGCAGCCAAGATTTTCATTGTTACTATCTCCATTCGGTTTTGAAGGCCGTCGTGGTGTGGAACTGTATCCTAACGTTCCGCCAGCACGAGCAGCTGACTTCTTCAGAGGTCTATTCGTCCTGATGGTTCCCAGTCATCGGTGAACCAACTGTCAGATCGCCACTGTCCGCCAATTAACTTTCGCAACTCTGTTCGTGACCGTTTCGCAACCCGCTTTGGTAACTGTCTGATTGCCACTGCGTTTCGCGACCCTCTTCCGCAACTGTCCGATCGCCACTGTCCTCCAATTAACTTTCTAATTAGTATTCCCAAATCCATAAAACGGTTTCTAAAACTCCTCCTTTGTACCGTCCTCTGATTGGTCTGATCTCTGTTCAATATTCCCGAATTTTTCCATAACCCTTCCTACTCGAGACCTATACCTTTGTTTCATCTAAGTCATTTGTCAGTTTTTTATTTAAGTGAATGTTCGGGCCCACCTATTTAGATATGGCCGAACTTCCTGTCCAAGAAGCTGAAATGCAAACTCGTAGCTTGCATTTTCGCGTTCCCAGTATTATATCTCATCAACAGGATACGTTTGTTTAGTCTAGCCTAAACGAAACAACCATTCATGATGCCGCCATAAATTAAATTCAACGCTTACTCTGTTGGAAAAATATCGATATGTAAAAATCGGGTGACCGACCTCGATTTTTATTATTAAAAGCTTTTATTTAACTTAACTTCTATGTATGTTGACAAATCTTACAAGTTCAATTTGACTCACTTTCCGGTATCCGATTGATCTGAAATTTTGCATGCTGGTCCAGAATCGATGAACTGATGTTATTCATAAACGTGACCTGATGCCAGGATCGGCTCCTTACGAGAGATCTCCTAGGGCGGTAAATAGCAGGAACACGAAATTTTGTATACGCATTCGTTCATGATAGGCAGTTGGTAAGCCCACCAATCATGAAATCCAGGGTTGGTTTCAATAAAAAAAATATATTTCAAAAAAGAAATTAGGTCAAGCTTTTACCTTTAAATACTTACTTCCCGACTCTAAAAAGAAGACAATAAATGGTGTAGTAACTGTAGTAGGTTGTAAGAACCCATATTCATTTGCATTGTGAAAAAATATTATTATCTACCACCCTCTAAGTTCCCAGAGTAAGAGGGTCCATCACACAATGTGAGCAACAGGCACAAGAGGCATACTATGACTTGTTTAATTTGGTGAGATGGGCCTCATTAGCATTGGTCTGCAAGCCGTCTAGGAGAAGGAAAACTCCTAAAGACTAAAAAATATAACAAGCTAATTCTTTTATAAGGTATGCCGGAGGAGTAGGTACCTACTTCTATAGAATATAGTTCATCCTAATAATAGTTTTCCCCGTTCCTCAAGTTTTTCTGTTGAAGGACTCTCCGTTTTATAGATTGACTTTCGTATTGATCGATAGCTATCGATTGAAGACAACAAAGCATATTTTGACTTTGACTTTGAAATGAATTCAATCACCAGCGATCCAAGTCGAATATGTCCTATACAAGAAGTTATAATTGCATTTTTGTTCATTACCTTAGGCCAAAAACGTATTATAGTAATATTTGTTTCAGATTGTTCTCCCCTCCAAAACCATCAAAAATGAAAGGATATTGGAAACCCTCATGTTCCAAGCCAGTTCAGGCATGTACAGAATGCAAGACGACATCATTGAGGAATGCACCCAAAGACTGCAGAAACAAGAGTCTCGGTTTTCAGAAATGGAATCCTTTGACTATAACTGAAAACTTTATTGGTAATTTAGTGTAGAAGACAATCAGATCAAAAAATTAAGTGAAAGCATGTGCCAATCCGGAAGGCAAATAGTTTGACCCGGATGATTGTCTGAACAAAAACTGCGATATCATCTATTGATATTTTCCTTAAAAAATCTGTATTGAGATTTTGCAGGGGCTAAGATATTTTTTCAGATGAAATGGAATATTATTGATCAAAATTTGTCGATGGAATTCAAAACATGGTCAGTGTTACTGCCAACTCTCCAAAGAAAAGTTGGTTAATGATTCTCAACATAATTTATTCCTTTAGAAATCAATCTGAATCAGAATTGAAACAACGACGTCCTTGTTCTGATTCTGAAATGGTACATTTTGATACCAAATAATAAGGATGTGGAGTAATGATTTCAGCTTGATATTTCCTATATATTTGCATTATTTACCCTCATCTCTCATTAATAATACTTCCTAAACTGGTGATTCAGATGTCTTCGATGATTTTCACTTCAATGGGTTCAATAATCTTAGTTAAATCAAAGGTTCAAGGTCTGAAAACTCAGCTCTCAACTCATTATTACATATCTCAATGATTTTCAGTACAATTTAGAGTTTTATAAACAACTGACTTGAGGTGACCTCACAGAAAAAAGTCAGGTGGCGCCAAGTCTGGTGACCTCGGTGGCCACTCAATGGGTCCTCTCCTTCCAATCCATCTGTTCGGATAGTTAGTATCCAACCAGTGCCTAACTGGAGCTGCATAGTGAGGAGATGCTCCATCTTGTTGGAAGTGCAGCAAATCTTCGTTTACAGCTAGGTTGCCTTGGTCGTCCCTTTGCTTCTCTAATTCATGCACAATTAAAGGTTCGATGGTATTTTCCAGCATATCGAGATAAATGTCGCCACTTAAATTGCTTGGTATGAACAAGGGACCAATTATAGCATCGCCTAATATTCCTGCTCAAACATTCAGTTTTTCAGGATATTGAGTGTGACCTTCTCTGAATCGATGCGGGTTCACATCACTCCAGTACCGACAGTTTTGTTTATTTACATTATCATTCAGCATAAAAGTACATTCATCACTGAAACAAATATTTTTTAACATTCTCGGTTCAACGCGAATTCTTTCAGTCATGAGTTCACGAAACTCAATTCGTCGGTCTGGATCATCATCGCTTAGTTCTTGAAGAATTTGTGTTTTGTACGGGTGAAACTTATGTAATTTCAACACCTTTCTAACCGACTCATGTGAAAGTCCTTTCACTGCAGATACTTGACGGGTTGATGCAGTAGGCTCCATTGCAAAATTTCCAAGCACCTCAATTTGGGTTGCTTCATTCAGTAATCTTGGGGCATTCCTTTTTTTATTTTGCACTGATCTCGTTTCTCTACACTTTTCAACTAAATCGTGGACGTACACGTGACTTACATTTTTGTCCGGATGCCTTTCATGAAATATTTGAGCTGTTTTTAAATAACACTGGTTATGGGAGGCAAATATGAAAATTATCTTCACGCGCTCAGGTATACTGTAAACCACTGTGACAACTACAGCTGAATGACAGTACAGATCGTACAAATGATGAAAACCAATGACATTTAAAAGTCTCAAACAAACCAAATTTATTGACTCTGACAGAACCCAAAAAACAGATCTTTCCAACATGTTTTGCAAAAACGGCAAATTAAGTTTTTATTTAACAAAAAAAGTAACGACGGACACTCATCATTTAAAATACATTAAAAATAAAAAAGTCATAGTAAGCCGGCTGATTTAAAGTTCGTGCAGACTTTGACAATAGGCTGTATTATTGTTTACAAAACAATGGAACCCACTTCGAATTTACTTAATTGACATTTCTAATGAATTTTTAGTTCAACAAAAACATCATTAAATATTCCATTCAAGCCAAAGTTTCACAATTATTACTTCACCCTGTACAATTATTATTTATACCATTAGATATCATTTTTATAATCTACCCAATGATGTATCACAAGTAGGGGTTTGCAATTTAAACTTTTTGAGTTTTGCTGGGTGGGGTTTAGGAGGTTGATGGGGGTGAGTTCTCTTTCATGTCACTTTTGTCCCCCCTTACTAACCTAGAAACGGTTTCAAGCATTTTTGATATCAGCTTTCGTTCGTGAGATATAGCCGTTTGTAAGTTTTAAAATTGACACACTGTATAATCATCTGAAGGAGCTGACTTGTTTTTTTTGGGAAAAAACAGTTGAGGATCACTAACAAATTCATTAAATAATTTGATATGATTTTGGTACCGTTCAAAGTTCACAAGTTCATGCGAAAAACCCCTTATTGAAGGGGTCATGTTTGAAAATTATTTTTTAAGATATCCAGTTTCTCAACATTACTGAGCAATTCATTTCCACTCAAACTGTTTCGCTTTCCAGATAAAATTTGAGGTATTCAATCTATGATTTTATAAATATTTTTTGCCGTATTGAAAACACGGGCAATATAAAAATTTGTGAATTTTTGAAATTATACTTGTGTGAATGTGGATAAATGTTGTGAGTGGTTCGCTTTTTTTCCAAGTATTTTCCGATACTCATTCAAATTATACCCATGTCAAAATAATTTGTCAATGGGCAGTTTACAAACGAGGCCTTTTATGTATAAGAATGCTGAATACAGAATTCAACTTGTTTTACGATGTGACAAATTATACTTCTGAAAATTGTTCTTGTTCTACCACAAGCTAGTTTAGTATGAATGATTCTTATATAAGAAACACAATTCAAAAGCATGTTTTCTTTTAATGAATATGACTTCACTCACAGTAATTATTCAATAGCCAAATGTCTCAACTGTCAACGTTTTTTGTTTAAAAATGAAGAAGAAAACAAAAATCTTACTTTCCAAAGAATTTCTTCAAACATTTGTGCTTACTGAAAGAATTTCATTTTCATGAATGTGACATGGGTATATGACAATGATTTATTTCAGATTCCAATTCGAAAATTTTCGATTTTTGAATTTTATATGATTGTTAACAGAGTGGTTTCCGAATGTGGTAGATTTCAGTGAACTAAAATGAATCTCTCAGAATAACAAGTTTCTGTTTTTTTTAGTATACACCAAGAACTTTCAACTAGACGTACAGGAATTTGAAAACAAATTGAAAAATTGTTTTTGGAGAAATAAATTCTCACTATTGAAGTTTCTATTGTCGCCAATTATTTTTTGACTATCTGATTGCTCATCAGAAAATACAAAATCCGTACAGGAATTTGAAAACAAATTGAAAAATTGTTTTTGGAGAAATAAATTCTCACTTTTGAAGTTTCTATTGTCACCAATTATTTTTTGACTATCTGAAAAAAAATATTGTTAAGGTCGACAAACGCTCTGATTTTTTTTTACAAAAAATTATTTTCCTTCAATGCCCTGGACTTATTTCTTAACCTGAAGAACGAAAGAAAATAAAACAATAATTGACAATTTCATTATAGTTCATGCACATAGATTGTACCCTTTTACAAAAAAAGTGCAGTTTTGTACAGGCAACAATATATTTTGATATATGATAGTGACTCATGAGATTCAATTTTATTGATCAATAATTTGTATAGAAATGTTATGGTGTGTGCCCTGCTTTTCTGAAAAGAAATAAATTCAAATATTTTTGAAACTGAAACATACTTTGAACGTCATCTGGGTAGGCACATTTCATCAATTACATATGAAACTAATACATTATTTCAAAATGGATTAAAAAAGATGCCTTTTTGCATTAATTTCGACCGACCTTGCCACTAGTTCTATTCGAAAGATAAGAGGCCGAAACTTTTTACGTCCGCACTGTATATTTGTGGTCTGCGTCTGTAATGTAGTAAATTTTAGATTCAACTGAATTTTACTAGATCTCAAAAGTCATGGATAAGACACTAAACAAATATTGGTATTTTTCATTTGCGTTGTTTTGCCGTCAAATACATAAAAATGTACAGGAATGAATCAGTCACTGAAATTTGAAACACCTTTTCGTGATCACTCTGTGTAACCTATTGTGATTTCCTGTGAATATTGTTTGTTTTTATACTCTGATTGAGAATAAAAGATTAATGTGACTGTACTAATTATAATGTAAAAACTGAATGTTAATCTTTCTGAAAGCTGTGACTGTATACTTAATACGCTGCAATTTTTTACAATGTTGCAGATATTGTTAGTAGAAATGCGATGTATGGCTAGGGAGCAGAATCCATGTTCTCCGATTTCTCACTTATGCGACCAGAAATATACTGAAGATAAAGGTGACCAATCAAAATTATTTTCGTAACAAAATTGAGCCGTTTATTGATCCACTAAACTCAAATTTTCGAAGTCGTTATTGAAACACTAGAAAGAAGTTTCTTGTAGCAGACCTATTAGCTAAAAATATTGTATTGAAGCCGGAATTTTCAGATTATCAATTAACTTTGTTAGTTATTAAACTAATTTTCTAGAGTGTTGGGAAGATTTGTCCCAAAGACTCTGGCGTCATAAAGAAATGATCAACATATGCCCTAAATGTCAAATTACGTCATTTTCTTTCTAGTGAAAAAATACTCTCTTGACTCGAGAATTATGACCCCAGAACAGATCTTAGTAATTATTTGTAGATTCACAGCATTATAACATGTATCAAGTTTTATGTCTCTTGTTTTTATTCAATCGTTCTCAAAAATCGACTCTGCTCTCTAGTTATCATCGATAAAATGTTATGTAATTACAAAAAGAGACGGAACACGTTCTCCATTCTTCTACTTCTCAGAAACTATTCAATATAGCATACGTCTATAACGATATCCTTCCTGAATTGACATTGGGAATATACCCCGCCAATTAAAAAAATTATGTTAAAAAAGTTCGAAATATCTTTGCCTAAATTCTCTAGAAAAAACATCAGTCGATAAATATCACTATTTCAGAATTCGGTGATCTCTCTGTGGTGGTTAACGGAAAAACAAGTATCTTCAATAAAACGTGAAATTTTTCTCTGAATTGATAATAAATAATATTGGTTATAGAAGCCATGTCGAATAACCAACAGGATCGCCTGATATAACACCAATTATGTTTTTATTAAGTAGGATATAATACTAATATATTTCGTTTTTCTACAAAGTGTGTTTTCTANAACTCTTCTGAGTGTCCAAGATTTCCTTCCGAAACTACGACTTTCATGAGCAATCGCATGTCATTTGTATATTCCAGTGCTGACATTTCGTAGAAAACCATAAGAAAACAGTCATAACCATTATAATTGTAAAGTTTTCTATTTGGATCATCATTATTCCTGAATTTGACGAGATACTTTCCTTCTCATTTCGAAAAAAAATCACATTCAGACAGTTGCCGTTACAGTTACCTGAAATAACACCCAGTGAACGTACATAGTGTTCAGAGCAATTTTCTGGGTTTGTTGACCAGATTCTAATGCCTTACGTTTTTTCTACGACTGCGGTAGATTTCATCAAAGACGATGAATCCTCACAACAGATACAATAATATTGGAATGTACCTATGGTTTCATTCCAACGGTGGTATGCATGACTT